GGGGGGGGGGGGGGGGGGGGAGGACACGACTGTTAAGCTAGAGAGTGAGAATTTCTCACAAAAGTGTGAGAAAAAGTGTGTATTTATAAAACTTCAAATATAACACGTACACACCTGCCCGGACGAGCGAGCGAGCGCGTTAGGCGGGCAAGCAGTTTGTGTATGTGTGTGTGTGTGTGTGTGTGTGTGTGTTTGATACGTACGTACGGCTGGCACCCTCTTTGCCAAATTCCATGTTTTTGTATATACAGTCCAAAAATTACATTTATTTTATGCAATTTCTTTTGTTAATATTTTTTAACAAACAATTAGCGCAGGTAAAGGTCAATAGTATTGACCTTCTTGAGAGTCAAGATCAACATCAAGGTTAATCGGAATTTGGAGCTGGCTGAGTAAAGCTAAACTTTACTTTAATTTTACTTATAAGTATATCATATTTAAGAATATAATATAAAATTAAATAAAATATTTAAAAAAAAAAATTGTTTATAGTCGTATAAGTATAATTCTGTCAATACTTAGAGGTAAATAAAACAGATAAACATTATAAAAAGCTAAGGACAAAAAGATGGGACGTGTACGTCTCACTGTCCCGTAAAGGGTTAAAACAGTAAACTGACCAAATTTTTGAAATTCACAGTTTATTAAATTCTCTAATGTTTTGATTAATCTCATATATACGGCGCTCGCAAAGACTCAAAAGTTGTTATGATATTTATTACAGCAATAACGTATAAAATTTTATAGGCGGTAATATAGACGAGTACACTTATTTTTAAAAGTATCATTCAATAGATGTTATAAAGATATCTAAAATAAGAAGAGTCTTTAAGATGTCCCAAATAAGTATATGAAATAAGATAAGATAAGATCCATAAGATCCATAAGATTTCTTTAATTTGTTGCTACATTTGACTTATTTAAATATGGTCACGATATAGTATACTCAGAAAGATGGGAAAAATAACAACATACATTTTCTACGTAACATTATTTATAATATATTTGTGTGCCCTACAGAAAAAATATGGTTACTTTTACGTCACTTCACGGAAAAGTATTATCCTACTGTGAAAATATGGGGTTTCTTTTTGCCCGCCGTATCTATCCGTCATCCAGATGATCTAGAGGTATCTAATCGTAAAGAAAGATAAAATAAAGTACACACAAAGTATATGTGTATATAAACATATACGTATACACATACGCATATACGTATACGCACCATATATGTGTTGAAAAATCATTCCTATAATAACTACATATCGTTGAGCTTGCAATTCAGAAATTTTTGTATTGTTATTGTATAATGTATCTAATTAATCCGCAAAATATTTCATTATAATAATCAGAAATTCTGTTTACATGTCATTGTATAGTTCCTCAAAAATGTGACAGTTCTTTGAATTGTTTGTAAAATTAATTATTTAATTATGTATAAAGTTTAATGTTATAATAAACTGATATTGGAAGCTATCTCCTTTTATGATTTCAGGCAATATTAAACAACACAAAGCATATCGAAAAAAGCAAAATATATAAACTTTTGCATGCTTGGTTAAACACTGGACTTCTTACCAGCTCAGGTAACGCAATCAAATTAATATTATAACTCTGTAGGACGCTTTACATTATTGAAATCATGGATGTGACGATACGAATATGGTCAACCAAAATGGCGGCAGCCGCATCTACGTCTATGGCACTCGTACTCGCAATTAAATGCATTCCCTAATAAAGATATAGCCATAAGCACTTAGAAGTATACAAAAATAAAATTGGCATTCGTATCAATTGATTTCTTTTGAGTTTGTAATTTCCTATAAATGTGATAAGAACGTCTTGAAAGCAATTTTCATGACTTATAAAAAAATTTTTAGAACAATCCAGAAATATTGTTTCCAATACAGCACAGCAATATAGCTATAATTTTATGCCAACGTTTCATCACAAGTTTGTAAAAAAATCACCTTTTGTCAGAAAATATTTTTCGCACTTATGAGTTTAGGAAACACTTCAAATGTATACGTCAAATGTCACATGAAAATTAATTAAATGATAAACTGAAAGAAAGTAAAGATTGCTAATTGAATGAAGAAATTATTGGTATTGTTCTTCTTTTACTCTTTTTTTATTAGGTATTATTTTCCTCATTTCATAACGTTATTGCGCGTTTCGCGATAATATTCCAATTATATACGATTGGAGAAATGAAGTAAATCATAATCTTATTTTTGTTTCAGGGGCCAAGTGGCATTCCCGACGGAAGATATTAACGCCTACATTTCATTTCAATATATTGCAGCAGTTTGTTGATATTTTATTGGAGGAGAGTGAACGCATGACACATAAATTAAAGAATATTGGTGGAACAGTTGAAATAGATGTAATACCGTTTGTTTGTGAACACACACTAAACGCAATATGCGGTAAGTCATCATATACTTATAACTGTATAGACAGCTTATTCAGCATACATATAAAAGTAGTCTGTATTTATAGAAACTGCCATGGGTACTTCTCTGCATAGTCTCAGTACGGCCCAAAATAAATATCGACAAGACGTTCGTCAAATGAGTCAGCTTATTGTTTATAGGTAACTAATAACTGCAATATTAGCCTGACAATTTGTAGCAAGAGAAAAAATTATAGGGAATAGAATACGATAAATGTACGTCTTTTGACGTACTCACAGTTTTAAATTTTATTCCTCCTTTATTTAAATATTCCCTTCACACGTGATTAGTCAGAGACTATTAATATCATTATTTTGTCACATTTATTTTTGTATAATTATATATAACTATGTTGCTTAGATTATTAAGGCCCTTGCTACATCCCGACCTGACATTCGCGTTGACGTCCGCGAGCAAACTGCAAAAGAAGATACTAAAAAACTTGCACGGGTTCACTGAAAAAGTGCGTAAGAATCAAGTTACTCGACATTCAGTGAGTTCCTTAGCGCGCAAAATGCAAATATTGTACGCAAGTACTGACAAAAATATTATAATATTAGGGTAATAGCGCAATAATATGAGCTATAAAATTAATTAATGTTTTCTTTCATGTTTGCTTCATTTTTAGATTATTGCAGAAAGAAAACTTTATCATCAACGCACGGATAATAAATATTTACATAATTTAGCAAATGCGATGGAAACAGATGACATAACAATACACGGATGTACGTAATTCAAGTTTATACTTTAACTTTATTCTAATATCGTGAAATCATAATTGTTGTACTTCGACTGAATATGCTAAAGTGAAAGTAATTTATAACTTGTGATCGCTGTAAAAGTTTCAAGTAAAACTAGCTTAATTTAAGTATATGAAATGATAACAAGTGTAATATAACAAGTATATTAAGAGATAAATGTCAATTACATTTTCTAATTTTTCATTTGATTCAGCTCGAAGAAAGCGACTTGCTATGCTGGATCTTTTAATAGCAGCCTCGCAGGAAAATCATTTGAGTGATTTAGATATCAGAGAGGAAGTGGATACCTTCATGTTTGAAGTATATGTATTCGTATGATTTTATCCGGTAGCTTAATATATTATATGAAAATGTATATAGAGTTATTTATAAGTCAATCTGAATTTAAGATTAGACTGTTTATTGAGATATAAACGAATTATATTTTTGGTTAAACTAAACAGACAAATTTATTTAAATACGTTTGGCCAAAGAAACCAAACTTATATTAACTAAAATTGTTTGGCTATTTGAAGAGACTACAGAATTTATAGTGCAGACTCTGAGATTTTTTGTTTTTCGAGCAACATAATATGAGAATCGTATTATAATTATGATATTCGTAACTTGGGACTTATATGTTTTAATTGATCAGAAGAATATTTCATTATAATAATCAGAAATTCTGTTTATCTTAATCAAATCTTGTTTAACAAAACGTTGATCAAACCGTGTTAGGCTTTTAGATGTATCTAATGCACAAACTGATTGTAGGGTCATGACACAACAGCAATGGCTACATGCTTTACTTTGTTACTGTTAGCTGAGCACAAGGATATTCAGGTACACGATGGAAACAAAAAATATATAAATTCAAAAAGATAACTTATTTTTTCTTGTTAAATTATTAAATAGCTAATTAACTCCTATTAAAACGGCAGAAATATTTACTATTCTTTGCAATATTTTTCGTTTATCAATTGTAATTAATCAACCGAATAAAATTAACGGAAAACAATCTTATAATGAAATAATAAAGTAAATATAAATATACATATAAATATTTGCTGAAATTATTTTTTGCGCATATATAAAATTTCACAAAACAGTGAGATATACAAATTTAATTAGAATTGGTGACACAGAATCGCGTCAGGGATGAGGTCAATACAGTGATGGAACAATTTGAGGAGAAATTGACTATGCCGGCCCTACAGAGTCTATCGTATTTGGAAAGATGCTTGAAAGAATCGATGCGGCTGTACCCTAGCGTGCATTTCATAGCGCGAGATACTGGGGAGGATTTGAAATTACGTGGTAACAGCAATAAATTTTTGTAAATGTATAACCATATTTCAGATTTAGCGTTTCGAAATCAATGCAGTTAAATCGGAATTATATCCATGTATAATATTATACATTTTTTTATATATTGACATTATCACAATATTTTAAATTATCATTTATAAATTACATCTAATTATGTAATACACTTTACAGATTCGAATATAATACCCGCTGGAACAATCGTACATCTCAATATTTACAGTGTTCATAGAGATCCCAATTTCTGGCCGAATCCCAATGTATTTGATCCAGACAGATTTTTGCCTGAAAAAATACAAAGGCGTCATCCTTATTCATACCTGCCGTTCAGCGCGGGATCACGGAATTGTATTGGTAAGTTAGCGTGATGCTCACAGCTCTATGTGTGGACAATTTTTAATACACAAATTATGCATAACAGGCCAACGATTCGCTATGTTGGAAATGAAGGCCATGATAGCTACTCTCGTACGCAACTTCTATTTGGAACCTATTGATTATCTCAAAGACATGCAGATAACTGCTGAACTAATACTTCGACCTAACCACCCACTGAATGTAAGATTTGTCCCAATAGAAAACATTTGAAGCAAACACGGATTCTTTGAGTGTAACAAGCGAACACAAATAGGTTACAGAAATCCAAGAATTGTCGATTTAATAAGTACACACCCATACACACACATATGCACACAATTTTAGTGAATATTTTAATTTAATTGTGTAAATTTAATATGATTTAATATCATGTTTCACCGTCGATGAATGGGCAAATGCACCGATTTAAAACATATTATGTCATGATATGTAGGAGATACCATAGATGTAGACAGATTGTTAACGATATTGTCGGTATTATATTTAAGATGAATTGATATATTGATATATTGACTCGTTCTGAGTATGATATAAGATGGAGAACATTCAGGCCGACATCTACATATAATAATAACTTCCAGGTATTGTAGTAATGGTTTAGAAATATCAAATCATTCGCTAATTTCCACATAATTTTGATTGGATTTCGATATTATTTCGACCTGAATTTTTATAGACACTTGAATTCAGGTTTTGCTTGATAAAAGTAACAAGTTACTATTAGTTAGTTGACAAATGTAATGTAATTTTTTTTCTGTTCTTGATAAATATTATTTGATTATTTTATAGAATTTTTTCCATATATCCTATATCTATAATCTATATTTAAGCTGCTTTTTATAAGAATATTGTTTACACACCAATTTAGATACTTGTGTGTGTGTGTGTATGTGTGTTTAGAATATTTTTTATAACATCTAAAAAAAATTAAAAAACCCTCCAAATATATAAAATTTCCTTTAAAAAAAAGAGTAATGTTCTTATGAAACAACCAATTTGCATAAATATACCTTTGAACTCAAGTTGTATACAGAAAAACTTAAAACGTTATAAGAATTATCAGGATTATAAATATAGTACTACATAGTATAATATGGTTTTAAATGTCGCTTAGATGTACACTTAGTATCTAATAAGTGCTTCTAGAAATATTTACAAACATGACGCAAGTGTTTCGTAATTTGACTTTTTTACACCGTTAATTTATCAGATATAAAACATGCTGTGTAATTATGCTAATATAATTGGTATGTATTTGCGTATTGATGAATAACGTGAAGAAAAAAAAAACGTTTAAAGTTCATGTTCATATAACACACAATAAGTATACAATGTGTGATATATTAAATATAGTATTTTAATGTGTTTAGGTATACTATTATAATACGTTATAAATGTTGCTTAGATGGATATGTAGTGCTTAGATGCATATGTAGTGCCTTTAAGTACTTCTAAGAATACCTACAAACATGACAAAAGCATTTCATAAATTTCGTATCCGTTAATTATACGATCAATTTTTTCGTAATAATAAATCCGCGCAATAGCTCGAGTGCTCCTCTCTTAGCACCTTGATACACACTTTCTCTCTCGTTCTTTTATTCAATATAAAATTAATATCTTGATGATTTTTGCGAATATCATAGAACGGTATAACTTGTGTGTTCATTTCAATCTGTTCTTTTACAAGCGGCGCCACAAGTGTTACCTGACACATTGTATATTGTTAACGATGTTTACAAAAAATAGTAATAAAAATTCAAATACGTGTTTATCCTCAGCTTTATAAACTCGACATTTACATTAACAAGACTCAATACTGTGTCGACAGTTTGTATAGATATATTCCCGAGCGTACACGTTGCACTGTTCCGACACTTAATTACGTTATAAACAATTGAAACGTTATTGTTTACTATCCTCTTTTATTGCGTTTATTGTCGCGTCCAAAAATGATTGTTACAATACTATTAATATTTATTATTTTAGTAATTATTATTAGCGTTTGCTTATGATTATTATGTGCATCATACAAGAGCCGGACGTCTGATCGACCCATGACCCATTTTTTGGCATCTTTATAAGAATGGAATTGCTGCTCAGCCAGGCTATGTGCCATCGATTGGAACAAGTGATAATCGGAAAGGACAATGTCTGGTGAATACGGCGGATGGGGTAGGACTTCCCATTTAAGCGTTTCCAAATAGGTTTTCACCGGTTGTGCAACATGTAGCCGAGCTTTGTCATGTTTGCAAAATTACTTTGTCGTGTCTCTGCTCGTATAGCGGCCGTTTTTCCTTCAATGCTCGGCTCAAACGCATAAATTGTAGTCGATAACGATCGCTCGTGATGGTTTCGTTCGGTTTGAGCAGCTCATAATAAACTACACCCAGCTGATCCCACCAAATGCAGAGCAGAAGCTTCGAAAATGGATATTCCGACGATGTTGATGCATGGCCGGGCTTACCCCACGATCTTCTACGCTTAGGATTATCGTAGTGTATCCACTTTTCATCGCCAGTCACGATACAATGCAAAAAACCTTTCCTTTTCTGCCGTTGAAGCAACTGTTCACACGTGAAAAGACGCCGTTCGACGTCTCTCGGCTTCAACTCGTACGGCACCCAATGTTCTTGTTTTGAATCATTCCTAATACTTTCAAACGTTTCGAAACTGTTGTGTGATCAACTCCTAATGATTTTGCAAGTTCAGCTAGCGTCTGACATGAGTCTTCACGAAGTAATGCCTCCAATTCTTCGCCTTCAAACTTTTTCGATGCGCCAGAGCGTTCTTTATCTTCAACATCAAAATCATTATTTTTGAAGCATCTAAACCAATCTCTGCATGTTGTTTCCTACAGAGCATTGTCGCCGTAAGTCTCAACAAGAATTCTGTATGCTCCAGCTACAGATTTTTTTTTAATAAAGTAGTGCAGTAAAATTCCCCGCAAATACTCTTTTTTTGGCACGAAACTCGACATGTTTAACACTATGAAAGAAAAAGTTGTTTACACTTCGGCGAAATGACATACACTGAATTTCAAGCTTGCTTATAGTACTTCCATATAGATGCGTTACCATCTTAAACTACACGCACGCAGTTCTGGTAACGCCATATGTTGGAAAATAGCGAGAACTTATTCAAGGTCCTGATATATTCTGAAATAAAGTTAATTCCAAGTTTTCTAAAAAATTTATTCTTAAAGTTTAAGATAATCTCTACATATATACCATTTACTTATTTCAATATATAACAAATTTCTATATCTAACAGTTGTCGATTTAACAATTACACATCCGTACACGTATATATAAAATTATAATTTTAAAATCGCATACATACATACACACATGTATATGTATGTATGCGATTTTAATATTAAGTTTTTATACACACATGTATGGATGTGTAATTGTTAAATCGACAATTGTTAGATTTTAACTACGTATTTGCATTCGCTTCTATTATTCATAGAATCCATTCTTGCTTCAAACGTCTTCTATTGGGACAAATCTTACACGCAGCGGATGGTTAGGCCGAAGTATTATATCAGCAATTATCTTCATATCTTTTAGATAATCAATAGGTTCCAAATAGAAGTTGCGTACGAGAGTAGCTATCATGATCTTCATTTCCAACATAGCGAATCGCTGGCCTGTCATGCATAATTTGTGTATTAAAAATTGCTCACATATAGAGGTATGAGGATTACGCTAACTTACCAATACAATTCCGTGGTCCCGCGCTGAACGGCAGGTACGAATAAGGATGACGCTTTTGTATTTTTTCAGGCAAAAATCTGTCTGGATCAAATACATTGGGACTTGACCAGAAATTGGGATCTCTATGAACATCGTAGATATTGAGTTGTACAACTGTTCCACCGGGTATTACATTTGAATCTGTAAAGTATATTACATAATTAAATGTAATTTATACATAATAATGGAAAATGTTACGATAATGCCTATATATAAAAAATATATATTATTTATGGATATAACTCCGATTTATTTGCATTGATTTCAAAACATTAAATCTGAAATACGGTTATACATTTACAAAAATTTATTGCTGTTACCACATAATTTTACATCCTCGTCAGCACGTCGCAATATAAAATGTACGCTGGGATACAGCCGCAACGATTCCTTCAAACATCTTTCTAAGTACGATAGATTCTGCATGACTGTCATAGTCAACTTTTTTTCAAACTGTTCCATCACTGTATTGATCTCCTCCCTAACGCGGTCCTGTATCACCAATTCCAATTAAAATTATATATCTCACTGCTTCGTGATATTTTATATATATGCAAAAAATAATTTCAGCAAATATCTATATGTATATTTATATTTACTTCATTATTTTATTATAAGATTGCTTTCCTTTAATTTCATTCGACTGATTAATTACTATTGATAAACGAAAATACACTGGGACGAGTAGAAAATATTTTTCCCGTTTTAATAGGAACTAATTAATTATTTAATGATTAAACAGGATTAAATAAATTGCTTCTTTATATATTGCATGTCCTCATCGAGAAGTACCTGAATATCCTTGTGCTCAGCTAACAGTAACAAAGTAAAGCATATAGCCATTGCTGTTGTGTCATGACCCTACAATCAATTTGTACGTTAGCTACATGTAAAAAAACTATCACGGTTTGATTAACGTTTAGTTAAATAGAATTTGAATAAATTAAACAGAATTTCTGATTATTATAATGAAATATTCTTCTGGTCAAGTAGAACATTTAGGTCTAATGGTACGAATATAATAATTATAATGTAATTCTTTTCTTAAGTTGCTCGAAAAACGAAAAATGCTTTTGTCTATTTCACGACTCTCAGAATCTCCACTATGACTTCCATAGAAATTTGAAATAACCAAACAAGTTTAGTCAGTACAAGTTTCGTGGCTTTGGCCAAACTCATGTAAATAAATTTGTCTGATTGCTTTAAATAAAAATATAATTCGTTTATATCTCAGTAAACAGTCTAGTTAGTGTATTTTAAATTCTAATTCATATATAACTAACGTTTATATATATATATATATATATATATATATATATATATATATATATACATATAATTTTTGTTTTTTATTTATATAGCCGTTTAATGAATCAAGCTATTAAAGTAAAATTATACGAATATACTTACTTCGAACATGAAAGTATCCACTTCCTCTCTGATATCCAAATCACTCAAATGATTTTCCTGCGAGGCTGCTATTAAAAGATCCAGCATGGCAAGCCGCTTTCTTCGAGCTGAATCAAATGAAAGATTATAAACTATAATTGACATATATCTCCTAATATACTTATTATGTTACACTTGTTATCATTTCATATATTTAAATTAAGCCAGTTTCGTTTGAAACTTTTACAGCGATCACAAGTAATAAATTACTTTCACTTTAGAATATTCAGTTGAAATACCGTAATTTTGATTTTCCGATGTTAAAATGAAATTAAAGTATAAATTTGAATTACGTACATCCGTGTATTTTTACATCATCCGTTTCCATCGCATCGTCATTTACTAAATTATGTAAATATTTATTGTTCGTGTATTCATGATAAAGTTTTCTTTCCGCAATGATCTAAAAATGAAGTAAATATGGAAGAAAACATTAATTAATTTTACGACCCGTAATATTGCGTTATTTCACTAATATTTTAATATTTTTTATCAGTACTTTTATAGAATATTTGCATTTAAATTTCACGCACTATGAAGCTCATTGAATGCCGAGTAACTTGATTCTTACGCACTTTTTCAGTGAATCCATGCAAGCTTTTTAATGTCTTCTTTTGCAATCTGCCCGCGGACGTCAACGCGAATGTCAGGTTGGGATATAACCAGGGCCTAAATAATCTAAATAGCAGAATTATGTAACGACAAATATAAAGCTGAGAAAACAATTATATTAATAGTCTCTGAATAATCACATGTGAAAAGAATATTTATAAATAATGAAATAAATAAATTTAAAACTGTGAGTATGTATCAAAAGATGTACATTTGTTGTCTTCCTTTCCCTACAACTTTTTTCTCTTGCTACAAATTGTCAGGCTAATATTGCAATTATTAGTTACCTATAAATAAAAAGTTGACTCATTTGACGTACGTCTTGTCGATATTTTTTTTGGGCCGCACCGAGACTATGCAGAGAAGTACCCATGGCAGTTTCTATAAATACAGACTACCTTTAGATATATGCTAAATAAGCTGTCCATACAATTATAAATGTATGATGACTTACCGCATATTGCGTTTAGTGTGTGTTCTGAAACGAACGGTATTACATCTATTTCAACCGTTCCACCAATATTCTTTAATTTATGTGTCATCCGTTCACTCTCCTCCAATAAAATATGAATAAACTGTTGCAATATATTGAAATGGAATGTAGGCGTTAATATCTTCCGTCGTGAATGCCACTTGGCCCCTAAATAAAAAATAAGATTATGATTTACCTTATTTCTCGAATCGTTTGCAACTAGAATATTATGACGAAACGCGCAAAATGCTATGAAATGAGGAAAATAATACCAAATAAAAGAATGAAGAAAGTACAATACTAATAATTTTAGCATGCAATTAGTGACCTTCACTCTCTCTTCCAGTGTATCATTTAATTAATTTTAAGCGACATTAAAGTATTTCCTAAACTCATAAGTGCGAAAAGTATTTTCTAACATAAGGTAATTTTTTATAATCTTGCGATGAAACGTTGTCACAATATTATTGCAATATTGCTGTGCTGTATGGAAAACAGTATTTTAGGATTTTTCTGAAAACTTTTTTATGAAATATGAGAGTTATTCTCAAGACCTTCTTATTACGCTCTCAGGAAATCATAAGCTGGATAAAAACCAATTGATACTGATATCAATTTTATTCTTTTACACTTCCACGTGCTTATAGTTATATCTTTATTAGAGAGTGAATTTAATTGCTAGAACAAGTGCTACGTTCGTAGAAGCGAGTGTCGCTATTTTAATTGATCATATCCATATCGTTACAACCCGTATCGTCACGTCCATGTTTTCAATAATGTAAAGCGCACTATAGGATCAAAATATTAATTTTATTGCGTTACCTTTGCTGGTAAGAAGTCCAGTGTTTAACCAAGCATGTAGAAGTTCATAGAATTGGCCTTTCTCGATATGCTTTGTATTGTTTAATATTGCCTGAAATCATAGAAGGAGATTGTTTCCAATATTACTTCATAATACTATTAAACTTTACACACAGCTAAATAATTATATGTTTTACGAACAATTTAAAGAATCGTCATATTTATAAAGAACTATGTTTGTGAAAATTAACAATTTCCGTTTCATGTAAAGAACGACACAATAACATGTAAATAACAATATGAAAAGTTTTGAATTGCATGCTCAACGATATATAATCATTTTATATTTATATTTTAATAATTCTTCAACACATATACGAAGTGTGTATCGTATAAATAAATAAATAAATAAATAAATATATATATATATTTAGGATGGTCCTCATTTACTCTTGGTCAAAATTTTTTTCCATTTTTTTCCACGGCACCCTCCAGAAAGTTTCCATATAATAAAAAAATAATTTCTATCAATTTTGAGTTCGATCGAATAACAATAACCCGTGCCCACGGGTTGTTAAACATTGAAGTACTTTTGTATTAAGCTGTCTACGTTATCAATACGGTTTTTAAAGCGTGTTTTCCACAAAAATCGTTCTAGAGGAATTTTCTTTTTTTTTCTATATCGTTTGAGATCTTATAATCTCCTTTAAACGATGAGATAAATTGTTGATGACTAAGAAATAAAAATAAATAGTTATTGCATTTAATGTTTGAGCTACAACAAATCATACATGGACTATAAAAGTTGCAATAGTATATTTGGAGGATAATAAAAGTGTAAAACAAGATACTTTTCATGTTTTTATTAATAAAGAAACTTTTTAAATTAAATATTACATAATAATTAATAACCTCGTGGGTCCTAATCTTATACTGGAAGGAGACCATAGATGTACAGTCTGTTTGATAAGAGCGTGTACGACAAAATTTGATAAATAATTTATTGAAATGATTTGGAATAAAATATAGACATACTACTTGATTAGAACTATAAAGTTTTATTATTAATAATTTGTCCAGTCATCTTCATTATTAACCTCTTAGCTACGGCAGGACTTTCCGCGGAGCTGTATCTCTATACGGTAAAGTTCAATGTGAACTTCACGAAAACAATGCAACACTGCGATTTGTGTCTGGTAATGCTTTTCACTACGCAAGTACATCAGAATACAGTTTTAGATGAATAAATTATAATTTATTAGAAATAAGAATGAGCCATTATAGTGGCGTACCGTTCAGAAAGATGATATACGCGAAAGCCGCTATAGTGGCTTACTGTTCAAAAAGATGACATATGCAAAAGCCACTATAGAGGAGGACAATACGTAAGAGGTTAATAATTTCCTGGCATCTCCGAGGCATACTTTTAACTAATTTTATGGCATTCTTGAGGTAAAGATCTCCATATCAATCGAATTTGTCGAACTAACTCCTTGACCGACCAAATTTTCTTTCCACAAAGTTTAAACTTCGTCAAGGACAAACGTTTTCGATAGGATTTGCATCCGGTGACTGTGACGGCCAATCAAGTAATTCAATATTATTTTCTTATTTCCACGCGGTACAAAGGCGACTTCGATGTTCATCAATCTTCTTGTAGTATCCATTTTTCGTTTTTCCTTGTAAACCATGTTTGAGCAGATAGTAATGAAGCCTTCTTATAAATTTTGACTATCTTGCTAGCGTTTAAGTTGTTTGTGAAAATATGCAAAATGCCAAATCCTTGTGTAGAGCCACGTCTCGGTAAGTCATCGACATTTTTCACCTCTAAGTAGCGATTCACACTTAATTTACAAATGCTTTCGACTTTCTCATGTACTTAGCAGCCGTTTGGCGTAACATTTTTGGTCCTTTCGGATATGTACAAAGAAACATGGCTTCGAAACGCGAGGTGCATTTGACACTCATGGCGAAATATATATTTTTTATCACGAAGATCGAATGACAACTAAAACTTTATCATCTTAAACAAAAGGTCCCTCTACCGGCTTCTGTTTAAATTTCCCGTCTACTCGTTTATATGTAAAAGTTTTGCCGGGCACGCTTTTATCAAACAGACTGTATAATACCTAGGTTGCGGGCTCGCAGTGTTTCTCATTGTCTGAACGCGTCAAACAATATAAAGAAATAGCATTCTTTCGGTAAAAAGTCTGTCCCTTTTTAATAAAGGCTGCTTTATTTCCGCCACAAAACCATGATAAGTGGTTTATATCTATGGACCCCTTCCAGCATAAGATTAGGAGCCACGAGATTATTAATTATTATGTAATATTTAATTTAAAAAATTTCTTTATTAATAAAAACATGAAAGGTATCATGTTTTACACTTATATTGTTCTCCAAACATACTATTGTAACTTTTATTGTCCATACATGATTTGTTGTAGCTCAAACAATAAATGTAATAACTATTTTTATTTTTTAGTCATCAACAATTTATCTAATTGTTTAAATGGAACTATAAAATGTAGGAGCAAAAAGAAAAGTCCTTTAGGGTGATTTTTGTGGAAAACACGCTTCAAAATCCATATTGATAACGTAAATCCATATTGATAGCTTAATACAAAGATACTCTAATGTTTAACGATCCGGGAGCACGGGTTCTCGTTATCTGATGGAGCAAAAGTTTGGCAGGGATTGTTTCTTTGTCAAATGGAAACTTCTTGGAGGGTGCCGCGGAAAAAATTTAAAAGTCAAAAAATAAGGGCCACCTTAATATATATATATATATATATATATATTAAGCGTAAAAATCCCGCTCCGCGCGCATGCGTACATGGATAACGACGTAACTTTCAAGCTCCATACTCGAAAAGTACTCAATGAAACGTAACTTTATTATAGTGTTCTAGAAAGCTCTCGCGATAAGCTATTATGTAATAAAAAATATGTAATAAAAAATAGTGTTTCCATTTAAAAAACATTAGTGACCTTGACCTGATTTTGACAAGGTCACTCAAGGTCAATTCCACATTTTCATCACGTGTAACCTTTAAAACCATGCAACTTTCGTTTGAAAAATTTTTCGATAAAATCATCAATTCGCGAGATAATCGACCATATCACTTAAAGTGAAACACCCTGTATATGTACACACACACACACACACACAC